TAGAAAAGGTGTTGGAAAGGCAGGGCTGTCACAACAGAAGGTGGTAACAGTTAACATTTCTTGAGCATGCCTACTCTCCAGGCTAGCCTTTAACTTGCATACTCCAGCTCCTGAAATTCTCACCACCCCTCTCTGCAGGTAGTACTAGCTGTATCCCCAGTTTTTCTTTATAGCCAAGAAGTGGCGAAGGACTGTCATTGACACACAACTGGTAAGTGTCACAGGCAGACCTAGAGCCCATGCCACCTGATTCTAGAGCCTGCTCTCTTCCTTCTGTGATTCAGTGACTAGCCTCCTTCAGCTGAGTTTTCTCCTCTAAAAAATGGGGATATGATGTTACCTGCCTCAGAAGGCCCTTGTGAAAATTAATACATGCAAATCCTTTAAGAGCATCTGCATTGGAGGCACATGTATACATCTGCTATCATTCATCATCATTATTATTCATTACTAATGATAAGTATAACTTGATATAAATTAACTCTAATAATTTATATATTAGTAATTGAAATTATTATGTATTGATAGTCACATTCCATTTGGGCAGCGATACAACAAAAACAGACAGAAAAATGGATGCCTTTTATGAGGGCAGAGTGGCATGTTCCTCCATGCATGTCCTTCCAGACAACTTATTAGAAGCATTTGACATGCTTGTCAAAAATAGAGATTCCAAGAGCCTTATCAGGGATCTACAATGATGAAGTACCAGAATGTTTATATTCAGGAAGAGCTTAAGCGATTCTTCTAAACACTGTGCTGGAGGTTCCTTGACATAGAGGCAAAATTAAACATAGAAACATGGAGAAATGGAAGAAAAGTCAGCTGTCAGACAATCTACATATCCCTCTGCATGTTTAAGTTCTATATCTTAAAGGCATATATAGCTAATCCTAGCAGGAGGTGGTATTACTGGATTTCTGTCATAGGACTACATGATTTCTGACTTGATAGAGTTTGTACTTATAATGTAATTAAATAATTTCCATACCATTATGCTCTATTAGGACTGGATTAATCCAAGCAATAAAAATACAATAATAATGGTGATGGATGATGGTGGATAAAGATGGATGATGATGATAATTATAAGGTACTTGATGTTTTACATCAAAATTATAGAGCCCTATTTCCATTAACTTTGTGCTGAACTATGGTGATAAGATTGACTAACAAACTTTTTGGGCAGCAATTCAGGAGGAAGTTCATCTAAATTGCTCTATCCATGATCACTCTTGCAGACCTCTAGTCACCTTTGCTGGTGAGTCTATCGTAAGCCTTCTTCGTTCAAAAACTATAGTTTTAAGATACACATTAAAAACATCAATATTAATTAGAATTGAAAAATAATACTGTTAAATGGATTGAATGAAATATCACAAAAGCACAGCCACCCTAAAATTACATTCCCACGCTACAAGGCATTCCATTTGCAAGGACAAGGAAGCAGCTAAGGAAATGATACTATTCGTGGCAATTATAAATTTTAATTCCTTGCCCAGTGTCCACTTGGCTCATACCACTTTCCCAAATCAGTGACAGTGAAGTATCAAGGAAGAAAAATTTTCCAGCCTTTGAAACATAAAAGGAATCATTGCTAACGCAATCTACAATGCCTAAATATTTACTAAGCACAAAGGGAAATCTCAGCTGGTAATGCACTTTAGAGAGAAGAATCTGATACCACCTGCCAAAGGATTGCCAGAAGGAAGTGAGGGACAAAATCAAATATGATGCTGTGTGTGTACATATACCAAATCTCAGCTGTGTCATGCTTTCAGGACTGTCCAAAAAGCAGTGATTTCTAAAGAGACAGCTAGAAAGGAACCTGGATGCATGCCTGTCGTTTCCTTCCCTGTGCGTAAGGACCTCTACCTGTGCCAGGAGAAGCAATCAGAAGTGCAACATTCAAGGTGTTTTTCTTCCATATCTACCCAACAGCTGCTTGGTTTCACTGACAGCCACTGGAGGCAGCCCACAAGAAATATGCCTACAAATGTGTAATTGATGATGACTTAAAATATGAAAATGAGCACAGTCAGACTTTCGTCCTCACAAGGAATACGTAAACAGCCACATACTAAACAAGGCTGTTTCTCTTATGCCAAGATTCTGATGCTGCTGTCTTTGGGCAGACAAATGTTTCCTTTTATACCCAACTCTTATCTGGATGCTGGATGCTACCTATCCTAAGAAGATGGGAATTTAGGTGTTCAAACCTTAGAATTTCTCATAAAATCCCTTACATTCCTTGGTAATGAAGCATGTGTTGGAAGAGGGAGGGTGAGGGAAAGAGAGGTAAAGAAAGACAAAATCAAGCACAGTTGGAAAGAATAACTGGTGCTTCCATACCAGAGCAGGCAAAAGAAGCTTCACAATTATAAATGCAACAAAAATAACCATCTCTTTTTCAAGGACTCTCAGCACCTGGCAGGAGCTCTTTGTAATGGAAATCTTTTTTTCTTTGTATCTTTTCGCTCACATATTAATGCTGCAATCTTACTTGTGAGTGGGAATATAAGTGTAGCATGGGCCACACACAGGGGGAAGCTGGTGCTGGCTGGCACTGGCTCCCAAGAACCATTGGACTGGATATATTGCTACCCAACTCCGCCTTCCATGAGGCCATGATGATAGATCAAAAACTTTGGTGGGACTGTTTATACCAGAGAAATCATCAAATGCTCCAAACCAGAGCTTTTTCCCTCAGAGAGCCAATTATTAGGTAAACATTTATTAGCTCTCCCCTGGCCAAATGAGTAATTCTTGACAAATATCTACAATCATAATTAAGCACCTACTATCTGCTAAGAATTCTATATGTACATCATATTTAATCCTTACGGCTAGCCTTAAGAAGGTGTGTGATACCTGTGGTCTCTGCTAGACAAGGAGACTGAAGCTCAGAAATTAAGTTTTCTATTATTGCAAAGCTTTAGCATACATTTTGAATCCAAAATCCACTTCCATATCACTAAATAACACTGGCATCCAAGGTTACTGGGTTATTAGATCCTAGAGAAAAATGCTGTCATAGGACATTTTGACATAAACATGCTAATTGATAATTAACATTGTAGCTAAGACAGAAAGATGTGGCCTGGATATTTGAGAAATTCTAGGTGGGGTATATAGGGGTATGCTGCTGGGATTTATACTCTGTACAGCCCTAACTCATTTATCTATTATTCTAATGAAGACACAAAAGGCGTGTTTATCAAATCTATTGATGCCACAAACCCTGGAGGTATATATATTATCTTGCTTGTCTGTTGTGTATATCTGTGTGAACTATCTAATATCCTTTTCTGAATAGGGAAGTTTTGCAAAGCTAAATAATTAAAACAAAAATGTCATATGTGGCAGTTGAAGGAGAGAATGTTAATTCTGAAAAAAATGATTTCTAGAGGAGTTTGAAGGCTGTCTTCAGATCCAGATTCTGCTCTGCAGAAAATAATCTCCATCTTCCTCCAGGTAGTGAAATTAGACTGATAAAGGAAAGGTATGGGAAGAAAGATTCCATTTCAACAGGAGGAAGAGTTTTCTAGTAAAAGATAATGCACACCAGAATGGCAATAATTAAAAAATCAAAAAACAGTAGATGTCGGTGTGGATGTGGTAATCAGGGGACACTTCTACACTGCTGGTGGGAATGTAAACTAGTGTGGAGATTCCTCAAACAGTTAACGGTAAAACAACATTTTGATCCAGCAATCCCACTACCGGGTATCTACCCAGAGGAAAAGAAGTCATTATTCAAAAAAGATTCTTACACACCATGTTTATAGCAGCACAATTCATAATTGCACGATTGTAGAAGCAGCCCAAATACCCATCAATCAACAAGTGGATAAAGAAACTGTGATGCATATGTGTATACATATATATATACACAATGCAATACTACCCAGCCATAAAAAGGAATAAATTAATAGCATTTGCGGTGACCTGGATGAGATTGGAGACTATTATTTTAAATGTCGTAACTCAAGAATGGAAGACCAAACATTGTATGTTCTCCCTGGTATGTGGGAACTAAGCTATGAGGACACAAAGTATTAAAATGATACATGGACTTTGGGGACTTGGGGGGAAGAGTGGGAGGAGGGTGAGGGATAAAAGACTACAAATAGGGTGCAGTGCTTACTGCTCGGATGATGAGTATACCAAAATCTCACAAATCACCACTAAATAACTTATTCATGTAACCAAATGCCACCTGTACCCTTAACAACTTATGAAAAAAAAATTAATCTTAATACCTTAAAAAAAAGATGTATATTCTCCCATAAAACAAGGACATGTCTATTAGACTTCACACTAATAATCCTTATTTTCTCATGCACAGAACAAAGACAATATGAGAGTAATCATTCTTCTGCCTCTCCCCAACTCTTCCTACACACCTTTTCTTTCCTAAGGAAATGTATAAGTACCAAGCCTCCTGAAAAGCCTTCTTCAGGGAGAACTCAGGCCACAGAGGATTTCCGTGACTCATGTTTATCTTGGGTACACCCTCAAGCTCTAGATCAATAAACCTCAATTGATTGAGAAAAACAAAAAAGATAATACACATCTCACTCTTCAGATTACTCAAGGGGAGCCTGGAAGACCTCTCTCATGGAATAATGGTGGAACATACAGGGATTGGACCCAGATTTAAATCCTAACTCTATGGTTTACTAACTATATGACTTTAGTCAATTCTCATGAGATTTCTCACATGTAAAATAAGGACAATAATAGTATCCGTTTAATGAGTTGTTGTTAATATTAAAAAAATCATATAGTGATGTAGAAAGTGCTTGAACAGTGCCTGGCAAGAGGTCATGCCATGTAAACATTCACTGTTATGTTGTCAAGAGAATTACTATTTTGGCTTAAATCAGCAGCTTTATCAACTTGAATAGTTTGTGATTTTGTGCTTACTTAACTTCCCCTTGGAACATGGTGCCAACCTTTTAGCTAGCCTGAAACAAATACTGGTTGATAAATTAATGCCCAGACTCTTTCAATAATCTTTATTAAGACTGTCATAAAATGATAGAATAAATTCTAGAGAAAGAAAGTGGAGGCAACATTCACTAAAAGGCCAAATCCTGTCCATTTCAGACCTTTTAACACCACTGGGTGTTTCTGAATATATTAATATAAGTAAAATATCACATTATTAAGAAACAGCCCAACGGACTGGACTTAACTTTTAACAACCTTTTAAAAATAATATTGCTAATTTTACATCTGAGTATATATTTTTTCATTCTTGCTTTCATAAATTCATGCAAATATGAATTGAGTTGATATACGCCAGGCATCGGCCATAAGAGATAAATGCTACATTTTCACCCCTTTGTCCATCAGTTTTCTTCTTCTGAAAGATTTATTATTCATCTATTAGTTTTGATAAGTGTTCTCAGGATACAAAAGATGCACAGAGTTGTTCGCAAAAGGGTCATCAACATTTTATTCTTAAATTTGTACCTAACAGGTAAACTTGACATCGATACTGTTCACTAATTCAAACCAGTGACTTCAATATAGATTTCATCCAAGTCCTACGAGCTGAATTTGACTCAGTTTGCACCATCGTCCTGGGAAGAAATGATCATAAAGAAAGCCTAAACTTCTTAGTATTATTTAGCCTGAAGAATAAAAGGTTAGAGAGGAAAAATCTTGTGTAACATGTATTTCCAAAATATGAAGGATTATTACTTGAGAGATAGTTGCCATATGTTCTTTATGTCCCCTGAGGATAAACAGAGGAAAGCCAGAAAAAAATACTGCTCACAGGAGAGCAATGGGGATTTCAGATAATGATTTAAAAAAGAACTCCTGGGTAACAAGAGCCATTGAATATCAGAACAGGTTAGCAGGGGACGGTGTGAAATCTTTTTCTTTAAGAGTGTTAGCTGCGTATACATTGTTTTCCAATTTGTTTCACCACCTGTTTTTCTGTTTGTATTAATGAAGGAAAAATTTAAAAAAACCTAACTCATTCCTTCCCAGAGATGTGTTTCTATGGATAAGATGATGACTATAAGAAACATTTAGCATGGGGAGAAATGCCAGATATAGGTGATGGGGAGGAAGGCGGCAAATCACACTGCTACATGTGTACCTATGCAACAATCTTGCATGTTCTTCACATGTACCCCCAAACCTAAAATGCAATAAAATAAATTTTTTAAAAAAGAAACATTTAGGGCTCCTTTTGTTCTTCAACCCCAGTCACCCCCATTTCCTTCTATCTTCATCTCAAGATGACCCAGCTGGCCTTCAAGGCCCAGGTCCTCTGTCTATTCTAAGACCTTCACTATTCCACATATTGCCCCACTTCTGCAGTTCTTCTGACCACCCCTTCTCTCTTCAGTGTTGCCTTGCTTCCCTGCTATACTCTCATCATGGATATGTCAAACCCTCTGAGAAAACTTCTTTTCTGGAGAATAACATTTATAGTTATGAATTCAACCATCCTCTTCAGGAGGCTAACTCACAAACCCACAACTTTAACTTAGCAAACTCTCTCAAACTCTAGTTCAGGATTTCCCACTGATAAATGGGTACTCTCACTCGGCTATTTCATAGTCATCAAAACCTCAAAACTCTCACCTTCAAAACTAAAACTACCACTTTCATCTCCTTCTCTTGGCTTTTAAAATATTTTTCATTGATACCTTCATTCTTTTTATGTGCCAGCCTTCAGAATGTATTCCTTCTCACCGTTCTCTGGGTAGGCCAACTCCCCCAGCCAATGACCTCTCAATTCTTGTTCTATTACATTGTACACATCTTTCTTTTCCATAGTTACCCTCAATGGTTCTCAAAATATGTACTGAATAGATTCCAAGGTTCAATGTCAGTACTCAGGGCCTTTTGTAAGTTTTCCCCAAATTATTTTTCCACAGTTACCTGCCATTTGAAACCTTTCTTCTTGAGCCAAATTTATATTCTCACATGTCTAGAATAGTGCTGCTTCTGATCCTTTGCTCAAACTGGGCCCAAGCCATGGTTTGTCTGTTTGAATCTTATTCAGTGTTATCCAAAATCCAGTTCAAGGCCCACTTTCCTTTGAATAGCCCAGTGAATAGTGGTTGTCTTCCTCACCCACATTTCTATCTCTATCAGTTGATTTGCTCTTAACATATATCACCTTAAATGGTCCTTGCTTTTTTCTCATATGTTTTTCAACATAGAACTTGATTCGACTTTCAATTGATTGCTAACAATTTGAAAGTGTGAACTCTGGTACATCTTTATATCTTCTCCTTTAAAAACTACATTAGTGCACATTGTAATTTGTTTTTACTCATCTTCCATCCTCAGTGTTGCTTCTTTATCTGTCATCAGCGCAATCACAAATAAAACCCAACATATTTTATTTTGTCCTTCTCATAGAACTGGCAGATTTTATTCATCATTTCACTCTCAAGGGTATTTAATTCCTAACGTAAAAGATGGAAAGGCACAAGAGGAAATGAATAAGGTAAAAATAGAGAGATAAGAAGGAAGAAGTAGAAAGAGAAGAAGGAAGAGAAGGAAAGATGAAAATAGGAAGAGAAAGAAAGAATTCCCATGGCTCTGATTTTTCTAAGTTTGATAACTAAGAAATTACTTGTAATCCATCTCACATTGAATTACAAAACGTAATTCAATCCCCATTTTGGAGAATCAGTTAATAAAATTATAGCTCATATCAGGTGTTCTCTGGAGATTCCTCAGATTCAAGGTTTCTAGGTAAAACAGCTAACAACCTCACTTCCGCAATGAAGCAAGTTCCTGCCCCATTCCATTGACCTAGTTGAAAAGAATTACTGACATTTAACTTCTGTGCATCGTAGTTAAATTTTCATCTGTTTATTCCAGGAATATTGCCTCTTTGGTTCCCTTAACTTTTTCTATCATTACATTATCTCCCTTTAGCATTAAGAGTAATGCACAGCGTTCAGCTGTGGCATAGTTGTCTAATGATGCAAATTATATCATTCTCACTACATCCATCAAATCCAGATACTAAAAATGAAATCTTCCCAGTGGCATAAACAAACTGGTTTTTAATACACAGAATATCATAACAGATTGTCCTTGGCTGTTCACTATACTGTATGTTCTGACACTTGTTGGTTTATTTACAGTGTTTCTTCTAAAAAAAGAATTGATCAAGGGAAAACAGCCAACTTCAGAATGTTTTAAATCTACATTACATACTGTCAAAATAACTTTTAAATATATGCAAAACTGAGTATTTGCAATTCAAAACAAGAGCACATAAGGGGGAAATAGAACATGCTTCCATTTCATATAAATCACATTAGAAAAAAGTTATTTGGATCATCCATATTTTAACAGAGTCACAGAAAAATGTGTGGCAGAGTAGAATTAGAAGTGGAACCTGACGATGGGACTGAATTCCTGCAATCTCATGACAAAACTTAAACAGATGAGGGGTTGCTTCTTACAGATGAGCAAACAGTATTTTCTTGAGATGAAATCTACTCCTGAAGATGTTGTAAATACTGTCGAAATCACAACAAATGATTTAGAATATTACATAAACTTAGTTGAAAAAGCAACGGCAGGGTTTGAGAGGACTGACTCCAATTTTGAAAGCTGCCCTACTGTGCAGCATCGCATGCTGCACAGAAATCTTTCTTGAAAGGAAGAGTCAAAATCGATGCAGCAAACTTTTTGTGTTGTTTGCCACTCCAGCCTTTAGCAACTACCCCCGATCAGTCAGCAGCCTTTAAAACACAGTTCAGGTCACCAAACCGAGCTGATGCCTGGCTTGGGGTTTTGACAGTGGAGTCAGTGACAACAAAGAAAATGGATAATCAGAGTTCATTCAAACATCCTTTGAGATTCCCAGTAAAACATGGAATTAAAAAGAAAAAGGAAATTACAGACATAGCAAGAAAAGGAAAAGAGAAGAAAAAACTGTGGATAAGCCATTCCAAAGTCTTCCTACCAAGAATCAAGTTCAAATGACTAAACCAGTCAATTTACTAAGAATCTTGTTCTGGGTAAGCAGCAACTGAAAACCACAGGCTTACTTCTGCTCCTAGCAAAATTAACTAATTCAAATAATCAGTATGTCATTAATGTGGTACAAGACTATTTTTGTCTCTTGCTTATCATCTTATATTCGAGCTGGTTACAGCAGGGCTGTGCCATCACGTTTGCCTAATTTGACCTCATGCCCTGACTAGCATGCTCCTTCTCAGGTTTTTAGACTGGGACTTGGGGATGCCAATTTGGCATTTTTCTTAAGCGGATATAAGGCAAACCTGAGAAGGAGAATTTCCATAGACACATTTGGTCCAGGAATCCGCCAAAATTAACCTGTAAAAACAGAAAAAAAATATGCCCAAGCTAGCAGACTGGACCCAGAAATAGGATAAGAGATGTGTAATAGCGCTGGCCTAGCCCAACTGAGCAAAGCCTATATAATCTGAACCTCAGCTGACTCCCAGACCCCTGAGTGAGACCAGCTGAGATTAGTGGAACCATCAGGCAATCTCAAGCTGCCATAGCTGACCCTCAAGCAACCCACAGCTCCCTAAGAAATAAGTGTTTATTGTCCTGTGCTGCTGGAGCTATTGTGGCTGTTCGTTATGCAGCATATTGCATGGGTAACTAATTAAATTAATAACATTCCTGACCTAATGTGAGCTTCGTAATATACCTCTGTATCTTTACAACATATTTCCTTTTTTTTCCATACAACAGTTTAAGCAAGCAAATGAGACCCAACTAATATACTAAAACACACTAAAAAACAAACAAACAAACAAACAAACAAAAACCATGATGTTTGGTTTGGTTTGAATGTGTCCTCCAGAGTTCCCCTGTGGGAAAGTTAATCCCCAATGCAATAGTGTTGAAAATTGGGACCTTTAAGCAGTGATTAGGTCAGGAGTGCTGTGTTCTCATGAATGGATCAGTGTCATTATCACAGGAGTGCGTTGGCTATAAAATTGATTTTGGCCCTCTCCCACGCTCTCCTGCTATGTGGTAACTTTCACCACAGGATCAGGCAGCACAGGGGCCCACGGCAGATGTCAGTGCCACGCACTAAGACTTCCCAGCCTCCAGAACTGTGAGCCAAATAAATTTCTGTTCGTTATGAATTACCCAATCTGGGGCATCCTGTTACAGCTGCATAAAACAAACTAAGACACTATGCCTATGAAAAACACAGATAGATATCCAGGCTATCAAGTCATTCACTTAACTCAGCCTGCATGAATCTGCCCGTAGCCTCTACAGACAGTGAAGTGAGATGCAGCCACTTTTGCCTCATTGAATCTCACCTCTGACTAGTGTGCTCCCTCCCAGGGATTTTTTTTTTTTTTTTAGATTGTAACTTGATGATGTCAATCTGGCATTTTTCTTAAATGGATATGGAGCAAATCTGACAATGAGAATTGCCATCTAGCCATGTGGTCCAGGAACCAGCAAAAACTAATCTGTAAAAATACATTGGTACTATTTTCAGGCAGTATTGTGTTCCTTTCTTAGAAATTATTTTCTCTTCCAACCTATCTCAAGTTAACTATTTTATTTCCCAATTCCTTAAGGCCATGCTCTCCATTAGGAATCTCCATAGTAAATAGACCTGGTAAAGGAATTTGTAGGAGGATATCATTGATTGACTTATATTTATCTTCATTTTACCTAGACTCACTTCTGTTTTCATGGGTCGTCTTAGAAATGCAACATTTTCACCCAAACGCATGAGTCAAGTCTCTAAGAGCATAATTTCAGACTCTGTGGTGGGTGAGGAAGTATTTCCCCTAATCTCCTCAGTTAAAAGAGTAAAGACTGAGTCCTAAGGTGTTCAGAGACATAAACCAATCATATAATCAAAGAAGAGATTTGTCCAATTTTACCAAAGATGTTTGCTCTTATTTCCCTCCAGACACTTGGAAAAAATTAAGCTGGAGAAAGCAGAGAGTAAAAGTATGCCTACATGTATACTCGTGGGCTGGTGGGTATCAAAACCTTGGGAAAGACTCAAGACTCATCGCTTTTTAATGCTATTGCAAAGGTACCTCCGGGTTTCTCAAGATACCAAAATGCAAGGATGAGAACTTTTCCTTTCTCTTTTGTTTCTGCTTTTGCCAAAGGCCTCCTGACACGGAGAGATAGATGATGGCAAGTGGCAGAGATCAGGAAGTCCACCCCTTGATGTCTGATTCCTGGAGTCACATTTGTAATTCCCAGTGCTCTCCACTCACTGGGAATATCTTGTCATGGGGGTCTGACTTGAAGGCTCCAAAGAGAAGTAGCCAGGGGGACAGGAAAAGAGACATCATTCTTCTTCCTCGCTCAGGCAGGAAAAGGAAGGATAAAAGGGAAGGGAAAAGGAGCCAGTCACCACTGAGTCTTGATTAATTACCAGTTCTGACAGTGACAAGGAATGTGGAAAACAGAGCAGAAATACAGGAGGAAAAAAAACAAGAAAATAAAAATGTGACTTTATAACCTCTTCCTCCACAAAAAGTAGCTACCTTAAATTAGAAAAATCAGTGAATCACATGAGAGATCTTAACAGGCGGAATCTGAGAATCTGAAAGCTATAAACCAACAAATAGAGCTCAAGACCTGTATTTTCTGGAAGGCCCAGATCATCTAGGAGATCTGAAGGTGTAAGAAGACTGTCTCCGAAAACCAAAGCAGGGTTATCACACACATTTCACTTGTATTTTGCGTGCCTTCTTTCAGTACTGACAATGAAAAGCAATTACATCCAACATAGAGACAGACACTGAGACCTCTC